CTACCAGGACATATTGTTCCAAGGATTCATTTTTAGTTCTGGTAACGCTCAGTACAATTGGAATGGCCTGAGGAATATTCCTGTTTTATTGTGGCTATTCTTTTTTGTGCCATTAATATATATTCTATGAAAATAGCTATTTGCCAAACATACTTATTAGCTTAAAGTAGTTTTAATTTACTCTTTTCACTCGTGATTTTTACTCATCGGTTATGTTCATGCTTTTTCCATGCTACCTTTATAGATACTCGACAGTCGAATGCTGACGTGGCCAAAGTTATTTCAATTAACAATGGGCCAAGACTACCTCGATTTGCTCACATTGATCGATATTTGCCATCCATCTCCTCCCGCCGCTCTTTGCCTTCATGTCAAAGCTCGCCTTATATATCAACTGTCTTAACTACATTCTCTCCTCCCTGTGTTTGTCCTTTGAAGCTCACGAACCTACGTCTTAGTGCTCCTTCATTAAAATACTCTTACATTCAGACTCAGAGGTTTGGAATTGCTGGTTTATGTCGGATGTCGGACTCTTTTCGGACACCACCTCTGGCAAGTGAAATAGATCCTCCAGTAAAGCGTAGACATAGTTCTCGGAGACCTTCAAAAAATAAGTCACCTCCACCTGTTATTTTGCCATGGCGATATTTGCTTCCAGGTCAACGGGCTCGGCGCATCTTCTCAACATTAAGCTTGAGGCCTCTAAAAGATTGGCAAAATCGGTGGGATCGCTCTCCGAAAGATCTCTTTATTTACGAGAGGCTTCCTCCAAAGTTGAGTCAGAACCGGCATCCTCTATTTGTCTCCGGTAACAAAGTGAGTTAAATTCTGCATATTGTTACACACATAATTTTGAAGTTATCCATAAGTCTATTTAATCTATAAGATACACATTTTAATTAAACGTTATAGCGACTGCTAGGTTATCTCACTTGAATTGAATTTTTAATGCCTCCTTTCGTTGAATTTTATCCCATACCAAGTGTGCTTTATTTTAAGAAAGCCTTCATTTTCGATCTTGCGACAGCCCCTCTAATTAAATGATGATTAGTCTTCGTAGACCACTCGTCATTCCCCATAACACTACATGCTTGGCCACCAGATATATTCTTTCAAATTTCAAACTAGCTTTAATGGCACTTTTGAAACCATGACTCATATCACCAAGTAGTATCGTCGATTTGCATTGTCTGTATACCTCCAAGTGTTTCAGTTGAGAAGTCTCCTTTGAATCGTAGAGTGCTTGCTTCTTGCAGTATTAGAGTAATGCATTTTGGATGGCCCCACCTTTGCAATTAGATCACATTAGAAGGGTTAATCCAGTATGCAAGCTTTAAAAATTTCATCTTTGCAGACAGTATATGGTCCATTTGTAGGCATTACTAGTTTCAAGCCCATATCAACTAAGCGTATTTTAAAGCTATCACTAGATCTCAGGTAATAACCTGTATTCCTTGAAGGTGGTGTCAGGGCTGATATGAGTAGGCCTTACGATATAAACCTCTCATAAGACAAAACGCTTTTTGCTTAATGCCTTACTAAATACTTTGTGGGGCGTAAGTGCAGGAATTTTTTTACTCTAAGAATAAGGTCGCTTTTAATAAATTGGTGGGGCATTCACATGCTAATTGCATGTAT